GTAAGTATTTTTGTAGGTTCAAACACACCTGTCCAAATACACCAATAGAATGTCACAATGACTTAAGACATAAGCATTACAAACCTTTAGTATTTCCAGTAAATCTTGTTTTGCAGGATTTCATAGGTGAAGTTTTTTTTAAATTGTATTAAATAAAAATCCAAATGTCAGTGATTTGCAAAGCAAATCCATGAACAAGAGTAAAATTATTCCACCAAGTTTAATTTGATATCCTTAAACACATACATACTTACAACTTTTTCCTCTTGATGTATATTAATTTTTATTGATGTATCAAAAAGAAAATAAAAATATACCAGTAAGTATTAGAATTTAATTCTGAAAGCTGGAGTTTCCACTTGATCAGAATTAGCTTAACATGAAAAAGTAAATACTCCTCTCAGAGTCTCAGTTCAAATCATCTCAAGTTCTCAGGATCTAAAGAGGAATATAAAGAAATACCTGTTCAAACTGGGAAATAATTTTTTCCTGCACTTGAATTTTTTTATCTCTGTTTGTGTTGTATACAGAACATGCAGCTATATATATATGTATGACCGTTATTTTTGTTTAAAACTTATGTGTATATATACATACGCAGTTTTTTTAACACATAGAAAAATTCCAACTTAGCAAGAAAATGTGAATGTTTGTGCATTATTTAGTCCCAGAGTTGCCAAGAAGTCTGCCCACACAGAATCCCAACAGATGCCAAAGACATAGAAGGGCTGCCAAAAGCTGAGAGCATTGCAGTCTCCATCTCACACTGAGTCCTATAAATTCAGGTGTTAACCTCTGCCTAGTTTATTAAAGTCTACCAAACTGAGAAAAGGAGATACCATTTTAGTGATGTTTCAGACTCCATAAATCTTTTCTTTTTCATGTGTGTTAACTAATTTCCATTACCTTCATTTGTAATGGTAGTTAAATTTAGTTAAGTAAGAATAACCAGATTTAAAGAAAATCCTGGGAAGATAAATCTTTGCCTTTGCTTTGTTTATTACTCACTGGTGTGCCAGAAGTCAGTAGAGCTTTCAGAACTCATAGAAGACTTAAGGATGATTAAGATAAAATGTGTGTCCACATAAAATAAACACGAAAGATGGATGCATGTTCTGCACTTTTACTTGATGGTAGTGGGAATGTACTGGTTTAAATTTACTGAACATGCTGATAATTTAAAGTGTTTATCAAAGACTTTAAAAACGGTTTACTGTGTAAAACTGTCACATGCATAAAGGTATCTCAGAATATTAGATCTTTTATGCCCCCTAAATAATATAGTGTTATATATTATAAATAGATTCTGCTTATTGAACTGTAGAAAACATTGAAGATCTAATAAGGCTTAATACAAATATTTTTTTATAAATCATTCTAAACTGCAGGAGTCTTAAATAAAAATTAATCTTTTGTGTATATATATATACATATATATATATAAGGAACGGTTATATATATATATATATATATATATAAGGAAACGGTTATAAAAAAAGAGTTAAAATTCATCAGAGACTATTTTTTTTCGCCTTGACTTTAGACGGGAAGGTTCCCTCTTTGTTTCTAGCATTGTTACACCTCACCCTCCCTCATTCAAACAAAACTCTACTGGGGATAATTTGTGTTTCACGGAGCCACAGAAGGGCTGAGGTGTCCCATGAGGTCCCGTGGAAGTGGGTTTTTCTCTGGTCTGGTTTCATGTGCCCTTAACTGATCCTTTGCTGTGTCGGGTGTCTCAATTTCGCCACGCTTCCTCACCGATCTCAGGGGCCTCTGACTTGAAGCATCACCACTAAAGACCAAGGCAAGGAAGGCATTTGGCCTTACAAAGGAGTACTTTGCCTTCCCTGTGCCCTTTGTCACCAGGTCCCTGCCCCATCCATCAGCAGGTCCATGGGGTTTTTTTTCCAGTCTTTGTGTTGCTGTCAGTACACCTGCAGAAGTCCTTTCTGTTGCCTTTTACTTTCCTCAACAGATTCAGCTCCAGATGGGCTTTGCCTTTTCTCTCTCTTTCTAATTTGTTCTGTATTGTTTCTGACAATTTAAAAAAGATGAAAGTTTTCCTCTTTAGCTTATGTCTTCGGATTACTGAAGGTTGAAATGCAGCTAGCTGTAGTTGAAATGAGAGAATAGCTCAGCTTCCCCTATTTATAAAGGCAGTTTTTAGAAGCTTCAGTTTCTTTCTGTGAGAAAAGCTCTGTGAGTTCCCCTATCACATATAGGAGGAACCATATTGCAAATTGAATAAAACTGATAAGGAGAAACAGTTTCTCAGATTGTTCTAGAGAAATGGAAAAGAGAAAATGTAAAGCCAAGTCCTCCTTTCCTAATCTCAGTGTTGTAGTTGGTAGATGACATCACCTTTAGCAATTATAGTTAGAGATGTAAAATGCTAATGGCATATTACCCTGAAGGCATTTTGCAGAACATGCCCTGGAAGCAGGGATTTAAGAGGTAATAGAGGCACTTGACAGCTCTTAATGAAAGCAGTAGCTTGAAAATCACACATTTCCAGGCTTTTAAGTGTGGTGTTGTAAGGCTTTCAATAACCAAAAGAGGTTCACTAAAGTGTTCTTGCTTCATGCTCTTGTGAATGGAAATGAGCTCCTTTGCCTGTCTTGTGGAAGTGTTAGCTGAGAGGCAAGTGTTGAAAGAAACAACAGCAAGTTCAAGCAGTGGTGAATGCAGGAACAGTAGGACTTGTTAGATTCAACAGGGAGCTTGGGCTCCATTGGCCAAGTTTTGCAAGGTGTAAATATTAAAGAACAACTAAAAGTTACGTATTGGAACTAGGAGCCAGAAGGGTGTCCTCCTGGATTTGCTTTCCTAGAAAGTGCAAAACCTGAATTTTATTTGAGGTTTGAAAACCTTTTGATGAATTCTGTGCTTTGAGTGCAGCTGGGGTGATTTATGGCTCTGTGATTTCAATCTGTAACTGGCAGAACTTTGCAGGGTTGAGCTGCAGTTTTGAGTTTTTGAGGTTTCAGATCCAAATCGTTAGCTTTTTCCTGCCCTTCACTTAAATCTTTTTGCAGATAAAATTTTTCTTCCAGCTGTTCATTGTGATGTTTCAGATAAATAAAAATTAAGCAAAACAAAGCAACCCCACAACCTGCTAAATAAGATTCAAATAAATAAATGTTCATTTGAGTTTCAGTTCAGTTTTACTTGACTACTTTAATGCTGCAGTCTGCAAATCACATGTAGAAAACAAAGCTAGTATGATACAAGTTTCTCAAACTAAGTAGGGGTAACTCTGCTCTCTGCATTGAAGGGATTGCTTGGTTCTGTTTGTTCTCTGCATTGTCAGGGCTTTGGTGGTTTTAAATAGTATATCTGTGCAATGTAAGTTTAATCCATAGTTTGTGTGTTGCTCCTAGTTTGAGTCACGCCAAAGCAAAGAAAGTATGTGAATCACTGCTTGCATCTCAACTGGAAGATTTATTAGTTCTAACTGGATCTAGCATGGCACTGGTTATACCAAGTTAGCAGCTGCTGTCTGATAGTTTTGTAGCACAGAGACCAAAACAGCTCAATGCTACAAGTGATTCTTACTTCCCTCACATTTAATATGCAATTATTTACTACAGTCCGTGGAGAAGATCAGTGAAACATCCTGTAAGTGCATTGCCACTGTGGATACAGATGGCCAAGTGGGACTTTGAGGGTGGTGGCTTAAGGAGGGGTGAGAGGAGCTGGCCAGAGGTGTGTCCTCTCTGAGTGTCAGCATACTCATACATGCAGTGTGCCCAGAGCCATGCTCTGTCCCCAAGGCTGGCTGTCATGGAGAAGCTTGTGGCTGTGCTAAGGAACTCTCCCAGTCTGTATGCAAGGTGGAGGTATGGAGTTGCCACCTGGAAGTGAACCGTGGAGGGTTTTCATTCAGAAGGATTCCTGGAGATCGTTTGGAAGAGTGTTAGCTGGGCTAGACCAGAACCTTTCCAGACGCCTTTCTAACAGTTTAAAAATATGCATAATATCAGTGCTTGAGAACATTCCCTGGAAGCATTTTAATGTACAAGTGTTGATTCAGTCTCAATGTCTTTCAGGATGTTGGCAAAGTCTTGCTTTTCACTACCTCAGATAAAAAAAATATTACTCCAAGAAATTCAACATATATTTGCTATATGAGCATGAAATGCTGTATATACTCCTGTTTCACTGTCAACTTCTGTGTGTGTTGAGCACTAATGTCTATTGATGGCCAAATCTCTCCTGACAGTTTGTCAGGAACCCACTCTGCAGTAGATGAGACATAAGATCTGTTTTGGCCTAATGCCAAGAGAAATGATGAGGGGAGAAAAATGTATTCCAGGAATAAGTACATGTCATTCTTGAATCAGAAACTGCTAGTTGCAGCACCAAGCATAATTTACAGGAAGCAAAAGTAAATTGTTGTATTTTTCAGTTTGTACTGCACAACAATAAAAGCTCATATTTATGCAACATTTTTATGATACAGTGGTATTGAAAATGCAGCTACAATTAATGATTAATGCCATGCATATGATTACATTGTGATAGCTTCTCCCATTGAGTCAACAAATGAGAATGCTGTGTTCTTGAGAAGTAAGTCTGATTTCTGTGTGTGTAGCCACACATCACACATTGAACTTTCTCTGTTCACTGTATCCAATTTCTTCTGGAGTCTCCTCTCCTCTGTCTGACTTGTGGTCATATATAGTCAGTGAATATCAGAATCTGTTTTCCCACTTTCTAATTAGAGCAGACATACTTCTGAAAGGTAATCTGGGAACTACCTCAGTACGGTGGTCAAAAATGTACCTCATTGCAAGTTTGAGTTTTGAATGAAGAATATACTTTGGGGCCTTACTGAAGTAAGACCTTAATATCTATGAAAGCTAATAATACAATATAACTTATCTCATGTTTATTCCAGGGAACATTTTTTAAGTGTTTCTTTGGAATACTAGTTTTGAAATTATCTCAGTGCCTAAAAAGTGACCATGTTTTTCTTTTTTTCCTTTTTATTTCAGCTGTGGGACCTACTGCAGAAGTTGCAGTTCATCATGACATACATTGCTCCCTGGCAGATTGCCTGGGGGTCATCGTTCCACGTTTTCGCTCAGCTCTTTGCAATACCTCATATCCTTGATAAATTTGTTTGTCTTTATTCTTAAGTTCCTCTTCATGTATGCAATTTATTTACAGTGTTTGAAAGAGATTTGAAATTCTTAGGTAACGTACTTTAAAATTTGAAAATTTTGGAACATCTTCTGAGAAACATAGGGGTTTTTTTTGTTTTCTTTTCTTTTTTTTCTTTTTTTTTCTTTTTTTTTCTTTTTTTTCTTATTTTGGCTGCATAGGATCTGAAACTGGGAAACTGAACTCTGACTCAGGCTGGTGTGCTTATTCCCACCCAGCCACATTCTGCAGATCATTTACTTCCCCAGTCCTCAGCTCTGAGTTTTGGTGCATCCAGAAAGAAATGTTGTGACAGACATATTGCTGGGCTTATGGCTGACTGAGCTCTCAAATATTAGTTTCTTTCTCAGTTGTTTCTAGTTGGTATGTCAGATATAAATTCATTTCAGTGAGCCAATTTTTGCTGCAACTGTCCTGATTTTTTTGTTTTCCATTTCAGAAGCAGTTAGGTTTTTACATTGTAATGTGAATTTTTCATTGGGGTGCTGAGAAATATTCTTTTTAACCTTTCCATTCTGTTTTATGAGTAAAAAATATTGGATCATCAGGACCAAGCAGTCCTTCAGAAGCAGTCTGTTTTGGTGCCTGTTCCAGGGCTCTCTCCTGGTTTGTGGATATGGGGAGTAAATGACCTCCAAATGACCTGTCTGTAGGGTTAAAAAATATATATTGAATTTATAGAACAAAATTATTCAATTTAAATTCAAATTGAATTAGAAACTTGATTGAATACAGAAAAAAAAAAAAAACAAAAAAGCACATTTTAAGTGAACAGATTTAACTTTATTGACATCTAAGGTGTTACCAGTTACTAACTTTTAATTTCTTCCTCCCCTGCTAACCAAAGTTGTGGAAGAAGAGTTGACACAGTGGTTTTAGTTCAGACCTACTGATGAGTTTACTTTGCACTCTTTATTAGATGTACACTCTTAAGTCTTTGTCCTTTCATCCCACAGGGTTGGGTTTTTTTCCCTCGAGCGATTTCTTCCGTCTGTTCTCTGCTGTGCAACGCAAACAGTGTTGAGTAACAATGGTTATGTTTCTAGATGGGAAGAATAAATGGAAGCCTCAGAGAGAGGCAAGTGCACACAGAATAACTCCCAGAGGGGAAGTTTTAGATTGTTTCCTTATAGAAGGAAAGCATTATAAAAGCAGCGATCTGTCCTAAGAGTTTTAGGTTATTTGTAGCAAATCCTTCCAGAATTTCACAACAAAAAATATTTTCATTTCTGTTGGAGAAGTGTATATGAATTTATTTAGCAAAACATTTAAGAACTAAGATTATATTTCAACAAGTTTCTCTTTGGTCACAAATATTTTGTTCAGTGATAACTTTGCTCTGGATAAAATTACCAATTAAATTTTGCAAAATGGAAAGTAATTAAACCAGAGTTTTGTTTGTTTACAGAATTATTGCTAAAGTGATCTACCCAACTTTTTATTATTTATATTTATAGTATGCTTTGTAAATGCAAATCTGTCTTCTAAGACAGTGCTGCAATTAAGATACTGGTTAAATGCTGAAGTTAATATTCCCACAACAGCAATAACTCTGCCTCTTTGCACAGTAATTTTATTTGTTGTTATCATAACCCTGCAAACAGTAATGATGAATGCATGTTGCAGTTTACAGAGGTACTAAACCTGCCATTTCTTTACAGAGTTAATTATTTGTGGCTCTTAATTGCTTCAATCAGTTCTGCAAACAGGTTGTAAATTTTCAAATTTTCAAGTGCCTGGGTGAACTTTGCAGCAGAGCTCAGTGATATGAGTAGCTCAGCATGCTTTAATGCCTTTGAGTGCAGCATGAAGGGCAACACATGTGGAGCTTTGCCTGGTGGTGCTTGTACAGTCTCCAGCACTAGAAATCTTCAGGATTTTAGTTGAATGTCTTTCAGGAGTCATATAGGTTTAGCTGATCCTGCTTGTGGCTGCTAGATGGACTAGTTGACCCTTCAAGGTCCCTCTTAATCCTAAGAGACCAGGAACAGGAATGTGCTTCAGACTTGAGGAAAGATCTGCAACTTCACTTCCTAACATTTAAGTTAGGAAGTTAAGTTACTCATTTACAAGTATCAGCCCATTGAGAAAGTCAGTGTAGTTTATAGTTCAAAGGCCGATTTTACCTAAAAAGGACACATGAAATTGGAGGTAAAAAAAGTTTGTAGTTGAGATTATCCTGTTCAGGAGAGTTTCTGCTTTGGTTGTTTCAGGGTTCTTTCTATCAGAAAACAGAGCCCTGTGACAGTCAGTTTTCCCAACCTCTAAGTGACTGTGTGCCTGGAAGGGACCTTTAGTAAATGCAAGTAAAAATGTGGGTTTTGAGTAACAGAGGATTTGAGCTGGCCTTACTGCAAAGTTTTGTGTTAGAAGAAGGGGATGAAAGATTTTCAAAATGTCAGTCTCACTTACTTATTTTGAAGTTGGTTTGAATTTAAACAGATTGTTAAATTGCAAGGATTAATCCTCAGAGACAATGTTTTATTTAATGTTGAAGAGTTTTTAGCTTTGGGATTTTTGTTCTCAAAATTTGATTTTGGCCATGTTAGAAAGAAAATCCATTATTCACAAAGAAACAAGTTCTGCTTCTAGACAATGTAGCCTAATAAAGATGGTACACAGGAAACCTGGCTTGAGTCATAGTGTAGGAAGGTATGCCTGTAAGTTTTTGACACTTCTTTTTTTCTTAGACATAATTAAAACATTGGTATTTAAAGTAAATAAATAATGAGCTAATACAAACAAATTGGATATCCTCAAATAAAAATACCTCTGTGACAGATAATTGCCCTCTGCATGCATTAGATAATATATGAGAGTCAGATGCTGTTACTTGCTCTCATGACAAGCTTGCAGATATGAAGCAGTTAAAATCACTTTTCACAAATCAAATTGGTAATGTCTCCTGTCCATTTAGCAGAGCATTATGTCTTTTGTGAAAGAAGCCCCCCGTTGCCACTGATTATGTCTAAGACACAAACAGTTCACAGTGGTGTGTGAAATGTCTTGGCTCATGATGGTGGCAATTTTTAAATCAATCATTATATTAGTACCAACTTTAGAAACTTGGTTTGCTGCCCTTATCTGTCCTCTTTGTTCTCTTTTCCTCTCTTCAGCTCCCATGCCTCCTTCCCTTATCTGACACTTGTAAATACTTGTTCATCTCTCACAGCCAGTGCTTGGTTATGACTGCACTGTAATGTGACAGTTTAACTTTTTTGATGCACTTGCTTTCTGCTCTGTGCTCTCTGTCACTTTTTTAAACTCCAGACTGTAAGGGCAACTCATTTTTTCAATCTCTCTAATGCACTAAGACACCGTTCCAGGCCACTGTCTTTCAGTAAGGTTTAGAGATTTGAAAGGTATCTTTTGGCAAATATTTGTTTCTAGATTTTGCAAATGGCTTTGAAAGCATGGCTAGCTGGCAGTTTTATGGAAATACTGTACCAAGAATGATGCTACTTTTGTTAAAAAGGGCTTTTTGTGAAGTCTCAGGGATTGTGAGACACACATACAGTAAGTATATTGCTATAATAGGGTAAGCTAAAACACTGGTTATTGGGTGATTTTACCTGAAATTTAGTTTGAGATGTGCTTGATCATTGTCCACTGATAGTGGTTCCTTTAGTTCATGGCTTCTTTACTTTGCACCTACCTCCCAAGAGAGGTGTAAAGGAATGACAAGTGGTCTCTTATGCCAGTTTGAAAGTATTTTTCTTTAAATTTCATGGATGTGGTGTGATTTAATGAAGAATTTAGGCCTAACATTTTATTTGCTGACATTTATTTAATTATGTTCTTTATAACTTGCATGTTTTTAAGTATCTTTATCCATCTTCTAACTTGCTTTCCAGCAGCCTGAAACATGACTTTACATTTAAAGTAAACTATGGATTCAGGCATTCATTATGATGTTTATGTGTGATACTTACTATTCCCCTGTCCTCACCTTCTCATTTCTTATATATTTCAGAAAGTGGGAAATGCTGAGCATTTTTTAGCTTTCAGTCAGCATGGAATAGTAAATTCTCAGTAAGAATCAATGTGAAAGCATGACTTTGAACCAGCAGATTGGAGTATAGAGGCACAATTTCTCCACATACCAGGTCATTCCAAAACAAGCAGAAATGCACAGAATGGAACACTGGAGACAGTGAAAGCAAGACTCCAGTATGGAGAACAAATAATTTCCGAGATTGGTTTTTTTCCTTGTGTGTGTTTTAAACTCTGTGTCAGACACTGGAAAGGCACTTTTGTGTTACAGAAGGTACCTTAGGTAGCTGGAAAAGGTCACTTACTGCACTGCCTATGCTTAGGATCTATCATTGGGCAGAGATTAGACGGGGTCACCCCAATAATAAAACTGTAGCATTGAAGAGCCACGTGCTCTTACATGCTGGTAATGGGTGATATTTAGCACTGCCTGCCTTCCTCCCTTTCCGTGTTACCTTAACTTGCAATTTTCAGACTCTGCTATGCTTTTTTTTCAAACTCTGGCCACTTCAGTCTTTTCTACACCACTGAGTCCATTTCTGGGTAGTGTCATCTTCATCGCATCATATGCACGACCAATCAAGTTCTGGGAGAAAAACTACAAGTAAGACTATTTAAAAATTCCTACCCTTGTGATTTGTAAAAGTTTTGCTCTCACTAGTTTCATTTCTGGTGGTATTTTTGTTTCCAAAGGTAATCCTTAAATTAGGGCATGAAAGGTTAATCTTTCAGTCTTGTTTCTGGTGTTCTACTCTTTTGTAGTTATTTGGCTGTTTCTGAAAATGTATTTAAGCAATTATCAGTGTGTTACAGATGAGGCGTCATGTTGCATTTGTTGTACAGACACACAGTAACAAAGCTGTGAAAAAGAAAATAGCAGTAAAACTCCCATGGTCAGCCTTTTTTGTCTTGCTAGCTAGAGCTAGCAACTAAATGTGTGAAGCCTTTGGCACTAGCAGTCAGACTTCATAAATACATTTTATACTAACTAGGCTGATTAAATGCTACCCTGTGGGATGCAGCAGGTAACTCTGCAGCTGCAGAACTGTGATACGAGGCACAAAGGGAAAATTGCATTGGCCAAGTCAGGGCTGGGTCTCACCAGTGAGGAGGGCTGTACCCTTACCACATCTCAATGTGTTAGTGATGCTGGTGTGTCTTAGTTTGAAGAGTTTTATTTTATTGCATTTTGACTTGTGTCAGTGGGTGAATATGTACTCATCTATAAAGAAATCAGTCAGACGAAGCTGAGTTGTATAAAGAGGCTTTGTATTCATTTCAGAATGTGATGAGATTTGTGGAAACCTTTGAGGGGAGCTCAGTTTTGTACACTGGGACTAGGTCTTAACAAAATTCTCACATCTTTTTTACTGGGTCAACAGTTTTGTTCTTTCAAGGGAGGGAAGTGGAGGGCAGTTATGGAGAGGCAGAAAACTACCACTAATCCCACAGACAGCTATACATTTTTGGACAGAAACTTTGAAGTAGGAAGTGCGGATTTTAACATCTGCTACATTTTATTTCAACCAGAGCATTTTGAAGGCATGCGGTTCCTTTTCTAGGTACCAGTTAGAGAACCAACCTCTGTTGAAGGCACATCACTGCCATATAGTTCAGTTAGTGTCAAGTCTTCAGGTTATTGTCAGTGGAAATAGAGGGAGTCATTTATATTTTCCTTTGGTTTGTCTAATCTTTTGATACAAAATGAACAGGTGATATTCACAGGAAGTATCAAAAATGGTTGATACTTAATACTTTAACAAGGATGTATGAGTGACTTGTTTTCATCAGTAGTGACCATCTGTGATTCCTGCTAAGGGAAGTGAAGAACTTGATGCTAATAGTTTTGCAAAGCAAGGTAATTATTTTATCCATAAATTGTAAAACCTCAAGTGGAAAAAGCCAAACCCTTTTAATGCTTTAATTCACCACTGCTTGTCATTTCAAAATAAGCAGCAACTGCAACTTTGTCTTCAACCAGAAGGCTTATGTTATTCTTTGTAAAAAATGTGCTTTGTTGCTTGTTAGAAATTCTAGTGTATCATCTATGACCTCACTTAAAACAAAAACCGCAACCTTGCCTCTCAAAAACCTTTCAGAAGTAGAAAACAGCCTTGTAGAAGGTTCAGGTTCTCATCAAAGTGAAATAAGTCTTCGCCTGAACCTGTGGCATCTCAGAATATGTACATGGAATGAGTCCTCCTAAATTTGTATTCATTTTGTCTCTAGTACTTCTGATTCTCCTTTGCCTGACTTCCATGTCACATGAGGAACTAACCAGAATGAGTGAGAGCTGGACAGAAAAACTCCTGGTTTATTAAAAGCATACTGTAAAAAGACAGAAAAAGGCAACGAAGGGGAGTAATTTGTATTAAGAATAAGGAAGTTTTCTAAAAAATACTTCAAATAATTGAATGAACTGAATGGGCCTTGCCTTACTGCTTTGAATTTTGACCTTCCAACATGTAAAAATTCAAAGGGATAGCATAATTGCTTTCTTTTTGAGCTGTGGAGTAAGATAGGATCAGGAACTTTAGCTGGAATGGAAAGTTGTTCTGGCTCTGCACATCTGCCTCTCTTTGGGCTACAGTTCCTTACAGCCAGAAGTTTAAAGGTTATATAAGACAAAACAGAACAGACAGATGGGGAAGTTTCTGTACAGATTTCTGTTCTGGAGTGCATTGACAGTTTCCCCAAGTTCAGCTCAGGGTATTCGTGGAAAGTCACAGGTTCACTGCAGTGTTGTCTGAGATGAGTTCATACAAAGCAGAAGCTTGTGGAGATTTTTTTTTTGCTATTTCCATACTCACAGCTTATTGATAGGAAATTTGTCCAGGGGAAAGCTATCTTCAATATACTTTATATGGCTTTTTTTTCTGCCTGTTTCACATACTCGTTTTCAAACACTTCCTTGCTGTATTGATGACTATGTTAAATTATCACACATTAGCTACAAATTATTTGTTTACATTTACATGAAGTTAGATATTGTCAGTTACAGGGTTATTTTTTTAAAAATAATTTAATCTCTTAATTGAATAACTGAAAAAAATTTTGACAAGCAGTTTTATGTATCAAAATTATTTTTCTTTCAAGTCATAAATTAGATTGCTTTCTTAGATTGTCATTTCTATACTGATTATAATCAGTATTTGCACACTTCTCTGGTTGTCAAGCAAACTTCATTGTTGTCTCACTTAAGGAAGATTTATTTTTTGCATCTCGTTTGGGCCAACAGCCTGAAATTAGAGGAGGAAAAAAAAAAAATCCAGTTCATTTTTGGTAGAGTGAATCCAAAGTTGAAACTCTGAACTTTATTAAGTACAGAGTACCATGTTCATTAATAGAAGAGGGCTACTAAGCCAGTAGTCTGAGTGCTGAGCAACTGATCCCTCTGTTCCTTAAAGTGGTGGTTTGGTTGTCCCTACCTGGTGTTTTCCATGTGCACACACATGAATCTTGTGTTTCTTTTAGTCCACTTTTTCTGCTGGCTAAAGAGGAGTTTGAATCCTCTGGTTTCTCTGGCTGAGCTTCTTCCATTCTAGATGATGCAAGCTGCGGCTGAAGGTCTCGGAGAATTAAAATGGTGCCTTGTTTGTTTTTCAAGGAGCTGAAGGACTCAAGTGGGTAAAAAAAGCAAATGGGATTCGTTTTGATAGTAAGCAAACTGTGAAATTCCTAACAGGCTCTTCAAAATTCAGGACTCATGCTGTGCCTGTTTGGGCTCTTGTGGTGTGTGCAGAGCATGGGTGTTCTTCCCTGCAATCTGCAGATGCTGTTTGTTTTTAGTATGCTCTTTGGTACTCACTGCAGGCAGAGTCTACCACACCAATACATCACTGAGGTCAGGGATCCTTCAGAGAGGAAAAGGAAGGGTGACTAAGAAGAAAAAATAAGGCATTAAGGAAGGTGAAGGAGAAAGAAGAACTCTTGCAATCACAGTTTTGCAGCTTTTGGTGCCTTTTTTGTTGAAAAGAGAGGGGTGTAAAATGAGAAGCTGGGCTGCTGCTCATGAGCTGGTTACCTTGTGGGAGTTCAACTATGAGAATTTTTCTTCCTCTCTCTCTCTGTTATTTTTGGGTTTGTGTTTTTACAAAGGAAAGTTTGCTGTGACACTGGTTTTGTCCAGCCATTGGCCTGGGTCCTGCTTCCCAGTTTGAAGACAGTTCTTTTCGTCCCTATTTTCACAGCTGTTGGAATGATTAGGCTGTAGATGTCAGAGAGAGAAAAGGAAATAGCAATAAATCTTGTTTAATGTATAGGCGCTTAGCATGAAGTGTTTGTCCAAATGCTATTGTTCAATTCCTTAGCTTTTAGGATTTTTTTTTGACTACTTTGTTACGCTGCAGCCTGACTCTGTCTTTCTCCTCCCTTCCTCTTATCTTCCTTTGTATCTTGGATATGACAATGACAGAACAGAATAGAAAGTTTACTTTTATTCCCCAGTGGGTCTAAGAGGTAGATCACGTGGAACAGCATGTTTGTTCTCTGCTGCAGCTGTGACTTGTCCCCACAAACAGCAAACTGCCACCAGGAATCTGGAGATTTCACTGTTTACAAGCTGCTTGTCTTTCCTGCACCTTCCTGTTTCTATTCTTCTGGTTCAGTGCCTATTTTTGGGTAAAGCACAGCTTGCATTTGCTTTGAAGCGCCTTGAATGAATTACAGTGTGGTGTAACTGAATTAATTAGGTGTCTCTAAAGAGGCTGTGATTAAATTGCCAGTTATCTCAGTCTGGCATTACAGGATGCCTCTCTATGTTTGGGACTATGTGAGCAAGCCTTTCTTTGCTCTGTCTTTTTAAAAAGTATATCACTGGGTTATTGTTCCAGTCATTGTGGTCTGGAAAATAACCACCTGTAGGGTTAATACAGCTGGGAATGGAGGGCAAGGAAAACCTGCCCTGCCTCAGATGTAATGCAGATGGCTTTTTCTTCTTTTTTCCTGCCAGCTCACTTAACCTACCCATCGCAGACAGCCTGCAGGTGGAATGGGAAGAGTTTTCCCAGTATACACGTAATTCTGGTTGACCCCACGTTATGCACATGTGTGGGAAAAGGAGCTGTGAAAAGTACCTGTCTGCTCCCTCCCTCTTTCCCCATAAAATAACAGGCCTTCCACTTCCAAATGCTTATTTTTAACACACTCTGGTGACTCTGGTTTCACTGTGAGCCTGCTCATCTGTTACAGCTGTTAAAACCCCTGCTCCAAACACAAAATGTCATTCACCTGTAACTGTCCATGGGCCTTGTTTGGGATCTGCATACTCAGACCTTTCAAGCTGTTCCTTTTAGGACTGGATTTCTTTTTTTCTTAGTCTTTTTCTTGTCGTGTTGTTTGATTTTTTCACATGTTTTTAGACCTCCTTAGTAGTGATGTTTCCAGAAAAACAACTGCAGCAGATGTTTATAGTTAGTAATGGCTTGGACTTTGATTTATAGTGAATAGCATAACTTCAGCATTATTTCCCTTTTTTCCCCTAATTGACAGGAGATAGTGTTTGCCTTATTTCATCAAATATTATCTCATATGTTATGTTCTAACTACTGTCACTGGCCTACTTAGGGTTCGAACCTACTTAGGCTTCAAACTTTCCAGCTACCT